AAAAAATTAGCTGGGCACGGTGGTGGGTCTGTAATCCCAGCTACTTGGGAGGCTGTAGTGGGAGGATCACTTGAGCCCGGGAGTTTGAGACTTCAGTGAGCTATGTTTGCGTCACTTTACTCCAGCCTGGGTGACAGAGTAAGACCCTGTCTCTAAAAAATAAAAATAAAAAAAAATAAAAGCTTGCCCACGTTAACATCACAAGGAAATGGCAGAGGTGTGCTATAAACTCTAGTAGTTTGACTCTAGAGCCTACACTTTCAACCATTATCCTACAAATGACTTATCTCTATGAATCAAACATATACATTTGTGGTGTCATTTATTTTACTCTATCCTATCCATTTGTTAAATATTTGCTGTAAAATTATGTAAATTGGCCGGGCTGAGGTCAGGAGTTTGAGACCAGCCTGGCCAACATGGTGAAACCCCGTCTCCACTAAAAATACAAAAAAATTAGGTGGGCATGGTGGCGCACACCTGTAGTTCCAGATACTTGGGAGGCTGAGGTGGCAGAATTGCTTGAAACTGGGAGGTGGAGGTTTCAGTGAGCTGAGATCATGCCACTGCACTCCAGCCTGGGTGACAGAGAGGTTCTGTCTCAATTTAAAAAAAAGTATGTAAATTGGCCAGGTGTGGTGGCTTACGCCTGTAATCCCAGCACTTTGGGAGGCCAAGGAAGGTGGATCACTTGAGGTCAGGAGTTCGAGACCAGCCTGGCCAACATGGTGAAACCCTGTCTTTACTAAAAATACAAAAATTAGCTGGGCATGGTGGCATGTACCTGTAGTCCCAGCTACTTGGGGGGCTGAGGTATGAGAATCACTGGAACCTGGGAGGCAGAGGTTGCAGTGAGCCGAGACCATGCCACTGCACTCCAACCTGGGCAACAGAGAGAAAGACTCTGTCTCAAAACCAAAAAAATTCCAAAAAGTATGTAAATCATGGGTGCCGTGAGAGGTGGCTCACACCTGCAATCCAAGTGCTTTGGGAGGCTAAGGCGATTGCTTGAGCGCAGGAGTTCAACAGTAGCTTGGGTAATGTTAGGCCTCTGAGTCCAAGCTAAGCCATTATATCCCCTGTGACCTGCACATACACATCCAGATGGCCAGTTCCTGCCTTAACCGATGACACTACACCACAAAAGAAGTGAAAATGGCCTGTTCCTGCCTTAACTGATGACATTACCTAGTGAAATTCCTTCTCTTTGCTCATCTTGGCTCAAAAGCTCCCCGTTGTGACCCCCGCCCCTCCCTGCCAGAGAATTTCCTTTACCCACCCAAATCCTATAAAACGGCCCCACCCCACCACCCTTCGCTAACTCTCTTTTCGGACTCAGCCCGCCTGCATCCAGGTGAAATAAACAGCCTTGTTGCTCACACAGCCTGTTTGGTGGTCTCTTCACACGGACACAAGTGACACAAGTGAAAGGTAACATGGATAGTGAGACCCTGTCTCTCCAAAAATTTTTTATAAAAAAACAAAAATTGAAAAAAAAGTATGTAAATCAAAATTTATTTACGTCAATGAAAGTATAACACTGAAAACCAGGATAGGACAGCAGCCAGTTTCTTTCTCTTCCTTGATGAGAACCACCTCAATTCCCAGAAGGGGAGGTTTGGTGAGATAACTGACTCAGATAAGAAAGCATCCAGTTTAGGGAGGAATAGAGAAGTACCCTCTGCCTAGGGCTAGAGAGGAGAACTCCCAGACTCTCCCGTTCACTCCCTAGCAACAAGCTGAGCAAATCAGTCGTTACCCATTTCTCTCTAAGGTCTTTGCCCGTATCAAATAACAATCAAACTCATGAAAATTACTTCTAGCCACAAATCATCAAACATCATGTCCAGATACTTATCCTGAATTCTCCCAACTCTCAAAGCTGGGTGTTATTCTATACACCCTGCAATAGCAGACAAGAGGCTGACGGCTCCATTGCTAGGGAGTAGCTAAGCCAGAATCTGATTGCCAAGCCCCCTCGCTCATGTGCTTTCTCAGAATCCCTGCTGCTCCCTGCTCCCTGCCTGCCTGAAATGTCTCACACCCCTCTCTGCCTGAACTCTGCTGATTCTTTCCAATTTTAACTCAGCTCTTCACAGCCTCTCCTGACACCTGTGCTTCTGGGACCAAGTTGGTTGCTCCATCCTCTGTGATCCCCAAACACTCCTTTAGTAACTTTATGAAAGCACTTACACGGCAGTTTAGTTACTCATGTCTTCCCCAGCAGACAGAAAAGGTAAGCACTGGGTTTATTCTTCCGTGTAATTCTAGTACCTGACACACAGCTTATAAAAAAATATTTACCTAATGAATGAATCTCCTTAGTCATCTAGTTCAACTTTTTCCTCTAAGGTTTATCTGTAGAATGTCTTTACTTGTTCCAGTTGAAGTCTGATTCCCACAGCTGGACTTTAGATGGCTTCTTGTTTAATGTACTGGTACTGAGTTGAGCCTTCCCAGATCTGTGGAGAGCCAGGCTGGTCTCCTGGGGTCTTCTCCAGGTCTCCCATCCCTAGTCTGGTTTCTTCACCCTCTGCTAACATCTGCCCACCATCCTGGTCACTATTTTTGGAATTCCTTTTGGTTTACCCTGTCCTTCCAAAAAAAGCAGTGCCCTGCGTGGAAGGCAACAAAGCAGCAGCAGTAAGGTTTTGAAGTTAATCAAGTATAAAAATTATTCTTAAAAATTCCTGGAGAAAGTGCCAGGTAGAATGCCCAGGAGATCCAATCTCCCATTGCAATAGAATAGATAACTGTTTCTTTGCTAGAGGATCAGCTAGATAAACTGTACTTGCATTTAGGGTCCCTGTTGCAGGGAAAAACATGTGTCTATAAACCTATCTCCATTTAAGAAGCACATGGGACCGAGGCGGGCGGATCGCGAGGTCAGGAGACGAGACCATCCTGGCCTAATACAGTGAAACCCCGTTCCTACTAAAAAATACAAAATTAGCCTGGGGCCTGACGGCGGGCGGCCTGTACCCCAGCTACTTGGGAGGCTGAGGCAGGGAGCAAATGGCGTGAACTTCGGGAGGGGCAGAGCTTGCAGTGAGGCGAGATCGCGCCACTGGACTCCAGCTGGGTGACTGAGGCAAGATCCCATTTCAAAAAAAAAAAAAAGAAGCACATGGGAATGAAATTAGACTGAGAAATAGCAAATGATTATGATCACAAGGCATATATTTTGTTGTGGGGGAATCATCCACACTATTGAAATCGGTGTTGGTGTGTGTGTGTGTGGTGTGTGTGTGTGTGCATGATGCAACTTCTGTGTGGTCAGAGACAAGGGAGAATGGAACTACCATCTTCCTCATTTCATGCATTTATCAGTTATCCCATTTATTGTGTAAATATTCTTCTTCCCCTACCTATCAACATCTCTTTTATTTCTTTGTTGACTGTCAGAATTGAGTTGAACTTCAGAGTTTTTTTTTTTTCTTTTTTTTTTTTTTGAGAACAGCTCACTCCTGTCCCCCCAGCTGGAGTGCAAGTGGCCGGATCTCAAGCTCCACTGCAAGCTTTCGCTCCGGTTTGACGCCTTCCTTGCTTCAGCCTCCCGAGTAGCTGGGAACTACAGGTTGCCCGCCAACCCGCCGGCTAATTTTGGTATTTTTAGTAGGAGACGGGTTTCACCCGTCGTTACCGCAGGATGGTTCTCGATCTCCTGACCTTAGTGATCTCGCCCCGTCTCGGCCTCCCAAAGTGCTGGGATTACAGGCTTGAGCCACCGCGCCCGGCCGAACTTCAGAGGTTTTTCAACTTGGAGTTCATGAACATCTGAAATTACATTAATGCTTGCAAGTACATTGGTATGTGCATGGTTTTGAGCAGAGTCTCCTGGCTTCGTAACCTTTCCAAAGGAGGCTGAGATGCCAAAAGGTTAAGGACCGTTGTCTTCAGTGTTTACCAAATAAATTGCAAATAGAACATTAAGTCTTTAAGAGAATTAGATTTACCTGTTTAACAAATACTACACTCTGAAACAAAGAAATGCAGTTATAACCAGTGAAGTACTCTATTATCTTCCCTAAACAAAAGTACTGGGCGTGTAAAGAGCAAAACTGCCTACTCCAAAGCAGATCACAGCAGACCTTCAAGGAGAAAGCTAAAAAGGCTCTTGAAAATTAACCTCCAACCCCCTTTTCAAGAACTTGAATCTTGTGCTCATTGTGAAATTTTCCACTGTTGTGGAGGAGCATAATAGGCACTTAAAGAAACTGGGTATTGTATTGGGATGAGGAGTGGAAAGAATTATAGAATTGTTTAACAGAACAACATGATAAAGGCTTGGGTTGCATAAAAATCATCTCACAGAGAAGATCAGGACACACTGATTCTGCAATCTGGGGAAGGGTGGCATCAAGACAGCCAATTCTGGAGCAGCTGAGAAGAAAATGTAGCCCAGGAGTGTTTCTGAATCCCTGGAATATCACCAGGAAGTGGAATACCATCCTTTACATCTTGGCCCCAGAGTGTAAGTGACTATGCCTTTGGACTGGAAAGTTCCCAGAGGACAAGAAAATGACTTCTTTAGAGCAAGGATTTCTTGACACCTTCAGGGACCCATTATGTTCCACTTTTTTTTTTTTAAACACGAAAAGAAAGATCGCTTTCCCCTCCAAATAACAAATGAACATTATCTTAAAAGGCAAAGCCATTAATTTATATGAAGCCAGGCACTAGACACTTTGGGGTGTCACAACAAGAATGACAATACGTTCTGATGTTGAGCACAGAAGGGGGCTGCATCAGTGAAAACTATGACAGACAGCATGAGAGTGCTGGGAGGCAAGCTACAAACCCAAGCACGCAACTGCTCAGCCAGGATCTCTATTCCCTATGGGAGCAGTGAATTACCTGAACTTTCGGTCAATGGAAGAAGTAAAATGCATAACACCCTAATCCTAAAGACACAAGTCCTGACCCCCTAAACCAAGGTTTTCAGCACTTTGGTAAAAACACTAACAAGCTCTAAGCCTGGCAAAGATGGCAATACATACCCACGTTGTGGAAGACTCTGCAGAGGTGGCCACTGGTCACGCTGGGCAGTTGAGCAGCTGAGAATGCCCAGCCCAGCCAGAAATGGTCTTTAATACTCTTCCCCTCTTTCTTTCAGTTTCCCTTCTGAAAAAAGAGGCTTTTCTCTTCCTTTTGTTTACCAGTCCCCACCCTGCATTCAGCTAAGCTTTTCTTATAAATCGCCCTGATTCTCAGAAACACTTGAGCTCCTGACCAACCTTCTTGATGAGACTGTCCAATCAGAGGTGGGCTGCCTGGGACCTGGTTGAGACCAATGAAACCCTCCTGAGAATCGAGCCATTAGCTGGGCATTGCATCAGCCACCCCTCACCCCCCGCTGGCCTCCAAATAACCTCTCCACCCTCTTCCCGTTCCCCACCCTCAGTGTCAGTGTGGCTGATTTTGTGGAGTCGTGGGCGTTAGAAAGAGAAACCGTAAATTCCCCGCATTTGTTCACTGAGGCGGCGCAGTGTAGTGGAAAGATCGGGAGTTCTGAGGTCACAGACGCCTGGGTTTCAATCCCAGCTTGGACTTACTCGAAACCTTGGGCAAGGGTCACATTATTTTTCTGCTTCCCTTCGGTTTCCTCATCTGTGAAATGGGCATGGAGAAGCCTGCTAACATTACCATTGAGCGGACTAAGTGCAACACTAGGCAAAGTCTCTGGCACATGGCAAGCGCTAAATAAAAATGGGGGCCTCTCTTCTCGGGAAAAGAGAAGAGGTGGAGATGATGAAGGGTTGGTGCCGGTGGGAAAGGGGGACGGGGTGGGTCGGCGGCGCTCACAGGAAAGGAGCAAGGGGTCGGTGGCAGGATCCGCGCCCTTCACGGTGCCAGAACGCGGCGAGCAGCATGCCGGGCTCTCAGGATACTGCCTGGAGGGCCAGGCCGCTGGGCGCCGCGCGGGCGTCCCTCCATTACTCCCTCCCTTGTTCCCTCACTCCGCCCCGGCCTCACTCCCCTCGCTTACCCGGCCCAGCCGGGCCCGTCAGCACTCCCGGCTCAGCCACGGGTTGTCTCCGGGGCGTCCGTGGAAACGCCATCCGGACGGAACAACTTCCGGCCCGACGGCGCCATCATTGGTTGTTCACGCCGGGGCGGGGCAGAGGCCTCCACTGATTGGCTGGCGGCCCCGGGGCCGCGTCGGAACGTGCCTGGACAGTGGTGTGCTGGCCGGTCTGCCTCCGGGAGAACCGAGCGCTTCCGGTGCGTGTGGTGAGCGGCGGGCCCCGGGCTGGAGGGGGCCGGGACTGGGCAGCGTCCATAAGCGCCCCGCGCCTCTTAACGCGGTCTCGCATAGCCGCTCGCCTTCCTATCACTTCCTGTTCCTTCAGAAAGCGCTGTGCCTTGGACCAACCTTACTTCTTACTGTTGACAGCTCGGCTAACTCCTATTCATCTTTCAAAATCCATCTCTGGTCGTATCTTGTTTGTTGCCTTCATCAGTCTGGGGCCTCCGGGGGATCTGTGTTTTGTGTTTAATTTCCACCCACACAAGACCCAGCATAGGGCTTGACAAAGAGTAGGTAATCAGGAAATGTTTGTTGAATGGCAATATCCTATTTCTTTTACTTCCTCAGCATCTCCCCCTCCCACCTGTTTGCATTCCAGAAATATTTTTGGACGCTGGGCATTGAATAGTGAACAAAACACAGAAAGCCCTGTCCTCATGGGGCTGACATGCTGATAGTGATTGTCAGAGTCACTCGCTTCTTCCTTAGACTCTTCTCCAGTGTCCCTGCCTTCCCTTCCATCTGTCTCAGTTCCTCTTAGTTTAATCCTTCACCACCTTCCAGAGGGAGCACGGGCACTCTGGTGGTGGGAATCTGTGGGATCCTTTTGACAGCAAGGAGTCGGGTGCGTGGTGGGTGGTGCCTGGGCAGAGGAGTTGAGAGTGGCCTGGGGACCAGGTTTAGCATTTGGAGAACAGAAATGCCAAATTATTTGCAGTGCACGGTTCCATTAGTTTATAATTAGTCTTTTATATTAGTTCCATCTGAGATGAGCTGGGTGACTGGCTTTAGAAGTTTTTTTTTTTTTTTTTTTTTTTTAGCTGGAGTCTTGCTCTGTAGCCCAGGCTGGAGTGCAGTGGCGTGATCTCCACTCACCACAATCTCTGCCTCCTGGGCTCAAGCAATTCCGCGGCCTCAGCCTCCAGAGTAGCTGGGATTAGAGGCACGCACCACTGCACCCGGCTAATTTATTTTTTATTTTTATTTTTATTTTTAAAAAATTTTTAGTAGAGGCGGGGTTTCACCATGTTAGCCAGGCAGGTCTTGAACTCCTGACCTCAGGTAGTCTGCCCGCCTCGGCCTCCCAAAGTGCTAAGATTACAGGCGTGAGCCACTGTGCCCACCCATTTTATTTGAACTCTGGCTTTGTGTGTGGAAGTTGTTACCTGCCTAGAATGGGCTGTGAACAGGGGCGGCATTACTAGAGGAGACTGACTACAGACATTTATGGAATGATGACCTGACTTGTAGACCAGTGGAACCCTCAGGCGAATGGTGCTATTTGGGGGAAAGGTGTGGAAGGGGTTGGGTGGTTGATTCCAGGGGACATTGAAACCCATTGTCTAGCAGAAGAGATGGGTAATAGGCTGTCTGGAATGACTTAGCAAAGGACTTGGAGGGAATCTGTTTAATATGATCTGACTCCACCTGTTGGGAGATGGAGGCGGACCTTGGCCTGTTTGATTAAGTTTGGGTGCACTGGATTTTCTTGGAAGTTAGTCTATTGCCTGAGCGTTCTTTGTTCTGGGTGTGCCCGAGCACCCTTCTTTTATCGTCTGGATATGTACTTGGTGCGTAACAGCATAGAAGTAAGAACATTGGGCCGGGGCGGCGGTGGCTCAAGCCTTGTAATCCTAGCACTTTGGGGGAGGCCGA